GATGAAATCTGTACATTTCATTATTTTTTTTATTGAGAATCTCTGTTTTCTGCCAAATTTGTTATGAAAATTTGATAAAAACTGACTATGTAGGGCTCTCTCAACATGAAGTATGAGAATTTCAAGATGACGTTTATGCAATTACTCGCATTGAAGAATTTTCCAGCTATAATTCATTGCCATATTTCTTGAATACCACAGTTAGGTTTATTATATTTCTTTTATTTCATCTGCCATGCCAAATAAGCATTGTTTCTATCCTTGACTAAGAAGAAAGGAAAAAACGAAGAATGAGAAAATAAAAGAAAACTTAGTTGTCTTTGGGTGGTAAAGCATTTGTTCAAAGTGTACTTGGCTGATATAACAAGCTCATGTGCTGTATGTACACTGTCGGTCAGAAGATATCTCATGCCAAATTTTGTGATGTTATCAGAAATGTCATTTTGTTCGTTATAGGAAAGTGTACATATAGTTTGTACAAAAGAACAACACTCAGTCTTTAATCTTTATGTTTCCAAACATGTTATCATGCATTAAAAGCAATACTTTATGTTATGTTGACTGTTCAAACCGTTTATTGGTAAATAAATACATTTGCCAGCAGTCTTATATATGATAATCATTAGTTAGGAGCATTTTTATATGAGCTCATAGCCTAGAAATTTGTGCTCACTTTTCTGCTTCGTCTTCTACATTATGGTTTCTTTTGAGATCATCCCTGCATCAAGTCACGGTAGACTTTGAAAGACATATAAATGCACTTATCTGAGTATGAGAAATTTAAAATCACGTTTTATTACCAGAGCTTGATATTTTCATCTCTATCTAAAACTATATCAATTACAAAACGAAATGTTATCTGAGGTCAATGAGAATCCCCTAATATTGTTTCCTCTCTTTTATGTGGACTTGCGTAAACATCAATAATTTTCTTAGTTACGGCTCTTACCTAAAAAATGATGATATTGCAGGAAATAATTGATATGTGTGATTTTGCTGTGGGATTAAGTCGTCAGCTAAATGGATCAGTTATACCTTCTGAACGTAAGCACAGTCAATATCAAAACCTTTTACCCTAGACGCACTTTGTATTATTTTCACCAGTAGCTTTCTAAATCATTTATTGTTGGGTGTTTTTAGATTGCACTGTTTTACATTAATGGCCACATATTTCAATGTACTACCTCAAACCTAACATGATTTCCTTATTGATTGTGATGCGTTGATAGGACCAAACCACATGATGTTGGAGGTATTCTATATTTCTTTTACTTCTGGGATCATAATTTTCTTTCTATTGTAGTGCATACCACCTATTGTAATATTTTCGTATGATAAACAGACATGGAATCCCTTAGGGATAGTTGGTGTGATTACGGCGTTCAATTTTCCATGTGCTGTACTAGGTGAGCACTTCTGTATTTGGTGACTTTACATCTTTTACCTCAGATATTTTTATATGTGAAAATGTTTAAATGTTTTTAAATTTGGTAATTGATTGTAGGATGGAATGCATGCATCGCTCTAGTTTGTGGAAATTCTGTAGTCTGGTGGGTCCATTGCGCTCCACTTTCTACATAATAAATCGTCTATGCAAACACTAGGATACACTTTAAGTCTTATTGCTGTTCAATTATTGCTTTTCTTGTACCATGTTAAGGACTATCTAGTGATCTCTCTCGAACCTAGGCCTTTCCAAGGAGATATTGAAAGAAGAGCAATGAGGCTATGATAATTTATTGTCACTTTTATTTTTCTGATATCTATTGCATGATCTGAATGTTCCTCATCTTAGATTTTTTTTTTTTTTTTTTTTTT